TTTTGCTTAAGTAAATACTGTCTGCGTTCTGTTTGTGTTGGGTGTTGGGCGGGTCTCTCTCCCTCCCCCCCCCCCCCCCCCCCCCCCCCCCGCCCTCCTCTCCCATGACTTTACAATGATCATTATAAACATTGTTCAAGACAAATACTCATCAACAATAAATTCAATAATACTATCAAAATCTTGGGAAAATCAAATAATATTCCAAAGGTCTTTATTCACGTTACATCTGAATGATTATTACGAAAAGCAAATTCAATAAATTCCTTTAGATTTTTGTAACACCAATAGTTTTCAAGTCATCATCATTCACATTATTGATGAGTGATTTTTATCACGAATAAAGTCAATAATTCCATAGTGATGTTTCGAAAATCATATAGCTTTTCAGTCTTTGTCATTCCCAATATTTATGAATGATTATCAACAACAACTAGTTTTAAAATATCATCGAGAGATTCTCGAAATCAATTTTGTTTTTCAATAATCTTTATTCACGTTGTTTATGAACGATTATCAGGAGCAATGAATTCAATAAATCCATCTACATCTTTTCATAATCAAATGATTTTTCATTTCTCTTTATTTACACGATTCATGAACGAATTTCACGAAAGATTAATTTAATAATTCGATCCAAAAGTTTGTAGAAGTAAATTATTTTTCAATGAACTTTATTCACATTATTCATGAATAATTATTATCAACAAGATATTCAACAATTCTATACAGATCTTTTTAAAATAGAATATTTTTTAATGACTGTTTTTTGCATCACCCTTGAAGGGTGTGGGTGTGAGCGTGAATTAAGAGAAGACCACAGCCTCTACCGACACCCACCCACACCCACACTCACCCCACACCCGCACCCAAAAACCTCAGGATGGATTATACGTTGTGAAACGTATTCGTGTTAACACTTTCAGTAAGATTACACTACAAAAATATCTTCTATAAAAATCGCTTTTCTACTGTTCTTATCAAATCCCAAAACAACAACTTTTGTCGTATGATCATCTAGAGATTCTCAAGAAGGATTTTTATTGTTTGTTATTGGTTTTGAGCTTCTTATTCTGATATAAAGGCGTTTTCTTATTTGTGTATTTCTACTTCGTCACATCGCTAACGAAAAGTAAACAGATTTTTTTGAAAAACCTATGCATGCTCAGAATAAAACTTCGAATAGGACTTTTTTAGCGTCAGAAGTTGTTTAGAGAATGTAATACTGACTTTTCAAAAATCTTACCTCAATTCGAAGATTTTTTAACCTAAGATGCATGAAGTGAAAATCGATATTCGCCTTTTTGTATGACTTTCCTATCGCTAGTTTTTTAAGAATAACTCTTTTGAATAAAGATCTCTAGTAGCGATTTTTTCCGGATATCCTAAGTAACTTAACATACATGTAATGTATAAAAATTAGCTTTACAAAATTTTAGTATCTGAAAATACAAGTGTTTTAATTTTTCAAAATCACTTCGCTAACAAACGATTTTACCCATATGTTTTTTGTTGATACGTATGTGGATCATAGACATTGTCTTTTTCTTGAGTATCTTATCTTCTAACATTGTGCAATTGACTCTTTCAATGAAACTTCTTTTGTAATTTTGTGTTAATCTAGATTCCAATCCTCTGTCTACCGTGTATCCATCATATGAATATTTTGAAGTTATTTGGGATACAAACTGTGAACTTCTAGCCAATTATTGTTCAGATGAATGGCTAGTTCTACCTGAATATCCTGTTATGTATGGAAATAATCGATGATCTCACATGTTCTCGCACTTTTGATTTGATTCAAACAAATTTGATGAAGCATTTTCATATGTTAAATAGGGAATTTCAGTACCTCTTTTGTGAATGTTCGACTATTGGTAATGAAATGTCATGTGCAAATACATTTTATTTTCATTGTAATCAATCTTTAAAATGCATCTCATATAATCGTGTTGGTGATGATTTCAACGATTGTTATTATTATGAAGATGAATTACTTCCTACATGTCATCTAAATATGTCAAATTAACTTATGTGTACATCAGATCGAACCAACTGCTTATCGTCTGTAACTATTAGAAATGGAAAATCTGATTGTCCACAAGAAGAGGATGAGAAAGATGAGAATATATATAGCATCCAGCAACAAAAACTGTTTTCATGTACATGTCGTTTAACTGTATACGTTCCAGAAGCAGATAAGAATGAAACTGATGAAACCAACTGTCACTGGTGACCATGTCATAATGCATACTCTCGTTTTAATGAACGTCGGCTTTATCTCAGCGGTATAGATGAACTTAATTGTTCCCAAATGGATTGCTCATTGAACGAATTTCAATGCAAAAACAAACGTTTGAAATTAACTTACTGTTTATCATTAGTCATATATTCTATATAACGGAGAGATAACTGTACGGGAACTTATGACTTTTTTTGAGAACTCTATTTCGACAATGGAACAAGTGACGTTAGCAAATCTTACTATTCATTTAACAAATCCAAATGTATCACTAAAGACAATATTTGTAATCGTCATTTACAAAGAGCAAATGTACAAGAAGACATATGTCTCAAAAATCCAATACGGACCATAATAATCAATCCTAATAGTAAAGTTTATAAAATCGATAATGATAAGACATATTTATGCAGTATTCAACTTAACAAGAACACGAAAATGCTTTGGATGGCGTTTCTTGACTTCTTTATGACTTGGCTATTTTCCTTCAACAACATATACAACTTCTATCCTAAACTTTTTCGACAAATATCAACAGAAAAGTAATATACCTAAGATGGATATTTCAATCGCTTGGTATTGTTATTATGGTGTTCTCACTCTATTAAACGATGTTTATCAAACAAAAATACGTCTTTATCCGCCAAATTATTTTGGTTTTCAATATCAATGGCAAAGTCAACGTATTAGTTTGACTTTGCAATTGAGAACACAAAGTATTATTGTTCCTCCACTTATTTTTCAACTAATCATCATGCTTATTGATGAACAAGGAAACATTGTACCAAATCATGAACAAATAACATATACGCCTTGTCATGATTGTAATACAAAATGTAATATCTATCTACTTTATCTACATCGTCTTAAACATTCATCAGCAAATTATTCTATTCGTATCGGTCTGTTTGATAAATCAACATTAAATTATTGGACGAGTTGGTATTTGCCGATTCCATTTGAGTTTCTTCCTGTTGATCGAATATCGATTCGACTAATCATTCCTGAAGTATGAGAAAATAAATAATGTATTTCATTATGTAGAAAACATGGTCGATGTATGAAATATACAAATATGAACAATTCAGTTTTTTTGTCGATGTGATCAAGGATATTGTGATACTTTCTGTAATATTACACATCAATATCAATGTTCAAATGACTGATTATGTCTTGCTCCATCTATTTGTGTATGTCCTTTGAATAAGTTTGGCTCACATTGTTATTTGAAAAGATCGATATGTCAATCAATGAACAAACTATGTCAACACGATAGACTTTGTATAACAATGGATGCTCGTATTAATTTACATGGATTTATCTGTTTTTGTAAAGAAGGTTATCAAGGTGAACTATGTCAACATCAAAGTAATCAAATTGATATGCATATAGATGAGACAATATTAACAATAAGTTCATCATTCATTCTACATTACATAATAACATTTGACACATATACGAAACATGAAAAAAAAAAACTGCACTGAAAAAGATTGTCTTTGGTCATAATACTATGATCATTTATGTACAACACGTAAGTAATGTTAGCACCGAATTCGCGTATTTCCTGCGCCTATTCGCCCCTACGTCTGTGCTGTTTCCCTACTTGGTTGTGCTGGATGCAGAATTTTATTCTCTATCGAATGCTCACAACTTCAGCCAGGGTCGTTGACCAAAAANTCTGTAAGAAAAAAACTAACTTTTTTCAACAGAAATACTGTTTTAGACGAAAATTCATCTTTTGTGTCAAAAACCATACTTTTAGAATGGACATAACTGAAAGCCATAATGTTTACGAAAAATTCACATCCAATCACAATATCTAATTGTGACTTTCCTGTTAAGACGTTTTCTTATGAAGGTCAATTCTTTCAGTAAAGTTCATCAAAACTTTAATTATCTTTACTTCTCTTTTCATCTAATTGTAAAAATAAATGTGATACTTGGGCACATGTCCAGACCTATCAATGAAATATTTTTAGTTCCAATGATGCGAATTTTGATTATAGATAAAGAAAATAGATATAATTCCGGTGGCGATTCGATTCTATGTTTTTTGATACAGTCAAGTTATATTTTATAATGCCTAATAGATGCATTCTTCTTCTATATTCAATAATTTTGTTTTCAGAAAAGAGTAAATCCTAAAAGACTAACTTGTTTAACTAACATCATTTTGTTTGTCGTATCAGTTTTTAGATCATCATCGAGGGGGAAAACTTCACTTAGTCGATTTATCTATGAAACATGAGTTATATTTTGTTGAAAAAAGAATCATATATGTCTCATAATTATAGAAAACAAATAGGAACACAATATCTATTCTTTTACTTTGCGTATCTATACAGAAGAAAAAATCTTTTTTGTCAATCGACATGTTTATTTTAGAAATATAACATTTTGTATAATTATAATGTTTTATACGACTCCTGAAAGCATGCTCATTATGTATATGATGATATTTCTTGCTTTACATCATGCAGTGCATACTCAATATTCATTATATTATTCCGATATTCGTTCGGGTTCGTATTTAACATTTGATTGTCTGTATGACCAATTTATTGAAGGTGGAAAGAATGAATACTCGTCTTATATAATGAACAAGCAATTGATTTCCTATTGTCGACGGCCTGATAGTGATGAACAAGAAGAAGAAATGTCTGACATATCGGATGAAAATATAGCAAACACAATTACTTTTAAAGAACTGAGCAAGCAAGGTATAACAAGTGAACAACTTCTTAATTGGTCAGCACCTATGGATGTTGCTGAAAGATATGCAATGAATAATAAAAGCTCAGAGTTATTTTATAATTGTTCATTCCCATGGTTTGGATCAAAATGTCAATATCGATTTGTATACAATACATCTTTATCATTTCATGAAATTGTTCAAGCTTCTATGAAAAGTCGTAACATCTGGCGCATAACCGTAAATGTTACGACATGCTATCGATTTTTATCTGATTGTAATCGTGGACCATGGCCCTTATGTCTTGACTGGCGGCAAATATGTAATGGCAAAGCTGATTGTATGCATGGTGAAGACGAACAAGGGTGTGAAATATTAGAGATGACGACATGTTCTCATAATGAATATCGATGTCTTTATGGTGGTCAATGTATTCCAATGTCATTTGCACAAGATAGCTCCTTAAGTGTTGACTGTCTCGATGGAAGTGAAGAGAAAGAAATTTTCGAACTCACGTCTTCTTCCACAAAGTCTATTTGTTATTCAACTAATGCATTTCGATGTACAGAACGCATCAGTCGATATCCTCATACTTTTCCATGTGGCGATGGCGAATTTTTGAGAGACGCTGACGTGCCAAGTTATCAAAGTCATTGTGCCAATTGGAGAGATATGGAAGCGACCTTAGCCGTACTTACTTCATTTCATCACATTGAAGATTTGAAATGTCGACAAGCAGTTCATTGTTCAATTTTCTCCAATCAAAGCTATAGTAAAAATAATTGTCTATTCATCTTTGCTACTAAGAAAAATCTAGAGTATGTTTTTCTGGTTCTCAAATATTGATATGCCAAAGCTTAAACTTGAAAATTTAAGTTGTCATCTCTTTGGCTACAAAAATGAGCTTTACTGACCTTCGAAACTCTAGTATCAGTTGTAGAATTTTTAATGATAATTTACACTTCTCGAATTGGCTACTAGTTGTTACAGTCGTGATATTTTTAATCATAAACAATATTGAATTGCGCCTCGCTAGAAAGAGTTACGGGACGAGACGATTTTTATCGAAATTTATTTTAATGCTTGTTATACAGCACATAGTCTTGAGTTCGTTAGAAAGTTATCTTATCGTCATCTAGAGACTATCTAGAAAGATGTATACATTTTGATATTGGTTTTGGATTTCTTCTTTATTTAAAGAAGCCATTCTTCAGTTGTATATTCGTACTTCGTCAGATCCTGAACGAAAACTAAATTGACTTTTTCGAAACGTTAGCGTTTCGTCAACAATTCCTCTTAATGAAAATATATAGTACACTAATTCTTTCAGAATATCTAAAATACAACGATGCCCGTTAAACAGAAAAATGAGTCTTTCGAAAAGTTGAGGAACTTGAGTGCACATGTTTTATTTTGACAATATCATGTAGCTAAAAGAATAATTCACCTATATGTCTCTCGTTGACATGTCTATCATAGATATTTTTATTATTTCTAGTCTATACCTTGCCGACTGATATTGATTCGACAAAAAAGTGCCTCGATGAAACTTGGAATAAAGACTACAAACTTCTAGCAAATTATTGTTCGGATGAATGGTTAACTTTACCTGAATATCCTATTCTGTATGGATATTTCCAATTTGTCTATTTCACTAATCGATCGCTGAATGTATTTAAAACTTTTGGCAAACCAAACTTTATATGCTTTGATGTACGGAAATGTCCTATACTATTATCTAAAATAGTTCCAGTTAAAGTAATTGATAGTCTTACATGTTGTCATACTTCTGACCTTATTCCAGAAGATTTGATTCTAAATATTTATACATTAACCATGATGTTCATAGACCTCTCTCGTAAATGCTCAAGTACCAGTAATGAAACTTTCTGTGCAAATTCATCTTATTTTCATTGTAATGAATCCTTAAAATGCATTTCATATCATCGTGTCGGTGATGGATTCAAAGATTGTTACTATGGTGAAGATGAATCATATCCTACATGTCAGTTGAACATTTCAAATCGATTTAAATGTCCATCAGATTCAACCAAATGCTTGTCACTTGTAGCGATTGGTAATGGAGAGTATGATTGTCCACGAGAAGAGGATGAGATAGATCAGTATACATACGCTAGCCTGCAACAAACACCGTTTCCATTGATATGTGACGGAATGCCAAGAGCCGATGAAAATGAAACTGATGAAACACACTGTGAATGGTGGCCATGTCATAACGCATACTCACATTGCAATGTGTTTTGGAATTGCCTTAATGGCGTTGATGAACTTAATTGTTCACATAATGATTGTTCATCGAACGAATTTCAATGCAAGAACATACGTTTAAATTTAAATTATTGCTTGCCACTAGCTCACTTATTCCATAAGCGGAAAGATGATTGTAGGACTGGTGAAACTATTGAAAAACTCTATTTTAGCAATGATACAAGAGATGTTAGCGAATCTTACTATTCTTTTATCAAATCCAAATGCATTAATGAAGACCATATCTGTAATCTTAATTCAGAAAAAGCGAATGTACAAGAAGATTTATGCCTGACAAATCAAATATTCCGCATAGGTATCAGTCGCAGGAGTGGAATCTATGAAATCGACAATAATAGTACATACAAGTGTGATCTGGTAGCCAAGAATAACTTAATCCACTCTAATAACAGATACTTTCTAAGTCCTTCGCGACTTGGCTATTTTCCATTAACAACATCAACAATTTTCACTCAAAATATTGTCAATAAATTTGAAAAAGAAAATAATATACCTAACATAGATATTACAGTCGCTTGGTATTGCTATTATGGTATTCTCATTCTACTCAATGATGCCAATCAAACAAAAAAATGCCTCTGTCCACCAAATTATTTTGGTTCTCGATGTCAATGGCAAAGTCAACGTGTTAGTTTAACTTTGCAGTTTAGAACAGAAGTTACTGTTGTTTCGCCAATTATTTTTCAATTGATCATTATGCTTATTGATGAACAAGGAAAAATAACACCCAATCATGAACAAATAACATATATACCTGATCATGACTGTAATACAAAATTCAACATCTACCTACTTTATCCACATCGTCCTAAACGTGCATCGGCAAATTATTCGATTCGTATTGATCTTTTTGACAAACTAACATTAGAGTATTGGACGAGTTATTATTTACCAATTCCATTTCAATTTCTTCCCGTTAATCGGATAGCAACTCAACTAATAATTTCTGAAAAACGAGAAAATGAACTATGTATCCTATCATGTGGAGAACATGGTCAGTGTATGAAATATACAAATATGAACAATTCATTTTTTTGTCGATGTCATCCAGAATATTCTGGTGCATTCTGTAATATTACACATCAATGTAAATGCTCAAATGACTCATTATGTCTTGCCGAATCTATTTGTGTGTGCTCTTTGAACAAGTTCGGTCCACATTGTTACTTGAAAAGATCAATATGTCAATCAACAAATAATATATGTGAACACAATAGATATTGCATATCATTGGACGATCGAATTAATTTAAATGCATTTATGTGTATTTGTAAAGAAGGCTATCATGGTGAACGATGCCAATACAAAAATAATCGAATCGATATACGTATAGATGGCACAATAATAGAAAAAAGTTCATCATTCATTCTACATTCAATAATAGCGTTTAACGTAATTACAAAACATGAGCGGCTGACTACATTGAAAAAAATTGCCTTTGGTTACAATACCATGACCATTTCTGTACGACAATCATTTAATATTCTTTTAATACAAATACCTGATGGTGACTATTATCTAGCTGTATTAAGAGAAAAATTTATACAATCAGAGTTCATTCATACCAATATATCATCAGAAAATCTCTGTTATCCAGTTCTTGAACTTTTTAATAATACTTTTCGTCAATATGAATATTTACGTCGAGTTAAATATTATCCACTTTTATGTCGTCAATATTCAAAAGTGATGTGCTTCTATGATGAGTACAACATGTGTGTCTGCGATAGTGATCGTTTTTCAAATTGTTTCGAATTTAATAATACATTGAAATATGATTGTAGTGGAAAAAATCTTTGTTATAATGATGGTCGTTGTTTTCTCAATAATGAAACTTGTCCAACAACATTCATATGTGTATGTAATGATTGTTTCTATGGAAGCCAATGTCAGTTTTCAACAAAAGATTTTATTTTTTCACTCGATCCTATTCTTGGATATCATATCAAACCAAATATTTCACTAAATCAACAACCATTTATTATCATATTCAGCATTCTTATCACTACAATTATGTTAATTTTACAATTAATCATGGGTTCATTATCTGTAGCAACATTTAAATTGAAAAAATCAAGAGAAGTTGGTTGTGGCTATTATCTTCTTGCATCATCAATTACTTCAATGTGTATGATTATTGTATTATTAATTAAATTTTGGCAACTTATTCTTTCACAAATGTCAATCATAACTAATAGATCAATGCTTTCTATTAATTGTAAATCAATTGAAATTATTCTTAAATCTTGTTTAGCATCGACTGAATGGCTTAATGCATGTGTATCTATTGAAAGAATATTTACTGTTATCAATGGTATATCATTTAACAAAAAAGAAAGTAGAATAATGGCTAAACGAGTCATTTTCGTTGTTATTGTTGTAACTATAATTACTCATATTCATGATCCGCTGAGACGACGATTAATTGACGATTTAGATGGAGATCAACAACGAGTATGGTGTTTATCTCAATATTCATCTACATTAACTAAGTACAATACATTTATTACTATTTTTCATTTTCTTATTCCTTTTGCAATTAACATGACATCTGCTTTTATAATTATTATACTAACAGCTCGTAGTCGTACAAAGATAAAGACGAAAGAAACATTCATGAAGAATTTTCGATTAAAAATTAAACAAAATAAACATATTATTATTGCACCTAGTGTTTTGTTATTATTAGGTTTACCACGTCTAACTATTTCGTTCACATCAGGATGTATGAGATCACCACGTCAATCTTGGTTATATCTTATTGGATATTTTGCATCTTTTATTCCATCAGCGTTAACATTGATTATATTTATTTTACCATCAGAAACCTACAAAAAAGAATTCGATAAAATAAGACAAGCATGGTTTCGACGATTCTGTTCAAGATCTTAAAAATATTTCATGTAAAACTTGAATAAACATATTCTTCTAATTCAGTTTCATTATACTTCATTTTGCAACATTATATATACATATATATATCCACAAATATTATTCGCTTTTGTTATCAGTTCATCTTACTCTTCAAAATTTCCCAAATAAAAATATGAAGCAATTCAATAAAATGTATTTCAATCTTCTTTTCTTATATATTTTGATAATTTGTTTTCATTTGAAGATGAGTCACAGCTATGAATTACCACTTTTATGTTTTAATCTTATTCGAGAAATATCAATCTTTTTAAATATTCTAGGATTGATTGCATGGAAAAGATTTTTAAAAAAAGATGCAAAAGACCCCTGAAAACGTCCTTGAAATTACTCAAATATTGGGGTGTGTGGGTGTGGGTCTTTTCTTTCATTAACACGCAAACACACAGTCACACTGACACCACACATCCACACCCATACCCACATCCATACCCACACACCCACACCCCACGCCACACTCACACCCCACCCGCATCCACACCCCAAAGTGTTTGTTAAATTATGCAAAAGGTATTTTGCCCATGAATAATGTATTCTATAATTTATCGAATACATTCACAATCAACAAGAATACATTGTCAGTAAAAAACGTTCTGAATCGCTTCATTAACTATTGAAATGGTTTCATTTGTGCTTTTATTTAGAAAAATAACGAATGGATTCAGTCAAAATGAGAAGATTTTCTTTCATATTATCTAGAAAATAACTCAAGAACTAATTCTTCGAATTGATCAATCCATTTCAGACGATTTGACAACAATCTTAGAAAGACAGAAACGTGTTCTCTGTCGCTCTACATCTTGCTTAATGGTTTTTCCTAGGTTCAAAAAGTTATTTTCGAAAAAATAAAATCTATTGTTATTCATGTCGTACATAAGTTTTGCCTTCATGATCTGTAACTGACTTTTATCAGCATCTATTTCCAAACCTGAGAATTTATCTATCAATATCAAGAAGTTTCTGTTTCCCTTATGCTGACAGTAACAATAAAAGTGAAACATAAGCGATGCTCATATATTGAGATCAAAAAATCACTATAACAGACGCTATAATAAGTTACAACAAATAGAGAATGACATAAAAGAAATGAATATGCTCGAGCACTGGACTATGTGATCATAAGTCGTATGACCGATACAACTAAAGATAGTTGTCATAACCTTGAATATAAATCTATTTTAACGATTTCTGAAACTAAATGATAAAGATGAATAAATCGTTTTGTTTTTTCATAAAGTGAGAAAAAATATGAAGCTAACTGAAGGAAAATGAAAACTTTTTTATATAGAGGGCTTGTAAAAAATGAAACAACATGTTTGCGACTTATCTTTAATGAAAAGTTACATGATCGTAAAGCTCGTGGCTTTTAAATATTCTGTGAAATAAAACAGTTTCCATATTTCTTTCTTTTTATTTAGTGTTTTTCTTTATTTAAAAAACAAATTAAAATTCTTTTACGTTTGTGAATATAAATCTTAGTTTTATTTCATAAGTAGATAACATGTATAAACCCTTCGAATGGACAATTCTGAGTTCGAATATCCAAGAATACAAAGAGTAAACAAATGAATTCATCAAAGTGAATACTAATTTAACCGATAGTTTTGTTCAGTTATAGTAAAATAGGTTTATTAAACTTTTTCTTTCGATATACGCATGGCTTTTGTAGCTAACATACATAAAAAATAAGTAAGTACAATAGCTGTTCAAGTTATTTTCTTTTATTGTTTTCCTATGTTATTTATGTGCCTCTTCATCCTAGACTTTTTCTTCATTTACAGATTTATGTTGTAAGATATAGCATGCAAACGTGTCAGATGATCTACAGAGTGGGAAATAATATTATTCAAGGGGGGTACCGCTATAATTTCAAATAGAAGATATGATGAATTTTATACCAAATGAAAGCCCATGAAAAATGGGATTTATTGGTACTAAATGATGAGGATTATGAAAACCTTTTAATGTCGACTTTAATAAATTTTCAGAAATTTTATACTTCTTTTGGGGTGGAAAAGTAGAATGCCAGTAATTCAAAAACGGAATAAAATGTTTTTCTTGTTTATTTTTACATGGTTCGATAGAGCTTGTTGAGCTCTACAAAACTGTATATACGAAAATATTTTTAAACAGAGTTGTTGGGTTAAAATTCACTGAAAAATGTCCAAAGAATGTGCTAAAAAACTCACATTTTCCACACTTTTTATAGTGAAAAAACCGGTCTTTTTTACACTAAATTTAGCTGTTTTTCATTAGTATCCTTATGTAAGATGTTTGAAAATATACTCATTCGATGAAGTTTTTCACGCTGCATCGAATGAGCATATTTTGAAACGCCACAGAGAGTAAAAATAATCAAAAAAAAGCTAATTATATTGAGAATTCGGGTGTTTTTCTTCCATATCAAAAAGATGACTTTTTTAACGTTTTTTAAGATTTTACAAATAGTTTTTGAATTTTTTAACACAAAAAATGACTCAGAAAATTTTTTCATATATACAGTTTTATAGAGCTCGATGAGCTCTATCGAACCATGTAAAAATATCCAACAAAAACATTTTAATCAATTTTTGAATTACTGGCACTTTACTTTTCCACCCCAAAAGAAGTATAAAATTTCTGAAAATTTATTAAAGTCGACATTAAAAGGTTTTCATAATCCTCATCATTTAGTACCAATAAATCTCATTTTTCATAGGCTTTCATTTGGTATAAAATTCATCATATCTTCTATTTGAAATTATAGCGGTACCCCCCTTGAATAATATTATTTCCCACCCTGTACATCTTTTTGAGTCTTTTTATGACATTTATGTTCAGCTCGGTCAAATTTGTACAAGGACTGTTTGAGTTTTTTGAAGAATTTTGCTCATCGATGTAGCTTGTTTTGCATTTGGTATTAGTCATTGATACATAGTTGTAGCTTGATTTCTAGATGTCTTCTTCATAGATGCACAAAAAATCTGTATTCATATATTGTGATTACTTTTGAATATTTTTAAAATACCAGCCATCATTTTTCGAATAATTTTCCATTGTTTATACTTATTCAAGTCTAAATGCATAGTGCATCTTTTAAATAGTGATTTTATATTTATGTGGATTGATTTATTACATATCTGGGGATAACACTTCTAGAAGACTAAAAATTGACTAGAATGCTTATAACTAGGCATGCAACCAAACCGTTTGGGTCGCTTCTGTCAAAATAAGGGAAAATGCCCTTATTTACTGAACCATGCCACACAACGGTTTTTCTTCAGTGAAAAACCAGAGTGAGAGAATGACACTATAGAACAACAAAAGGGGGCTTCGGTAACCTTCTTAGAGTAAATACCAGAGTCAATCACAAAACCCAAACCCAATGAGTTTGGGTTTGGGTTTGGGAGGTTGTTCAGTTCTCGTTGAATATCTTATTTAAGGAAGCAGCTCATTTGATCATTTTGTATTTAGTTGTCAAAGGCAGACTTCCTTCAATATTAATGGCAATACAGTTTATTGATACAGTTTCTAATCAGTGAGATAAGTTTTAAATACCCAAATTCTTCTATTGAGTTTGGGTGCGTGCCTAATTATAACACAAGAAAAAAGCGATAATAGCACATATCATTTTAAGACTTTTATTCACACAACTAATTCCATCCATTAGAATTATCTTTCATATGATTTTACTTTATTTTATGAATTCTTTATACATTGTTTATCGTTGCATTTGAGGATGTGAAGCTTGAATATGAAGATGTGCAATTTTTTCCATGTCCACTCACACTCTATTGTAGTTAGAATTGAAGTCAAAAGATTTTTCTGATATTGCATATCACTAAACATTACCAACTTTTACTAACATATTCGAGTTGATTTTGTGTTGAAGAACTTCAGTTAAACCTGTAGCATTTATCCTGAAGATTGGATCATTAGTATTTCAATGAACTCGAAGTAAGAACTTAATTTGAAAACGAATATGTTACATTTAATAAACCATCATTGGATCGTATACAAGTCTTTAATATCTACTCATTGATTTACCATAGATTTTTTTTTCTTCCAATGTAGAAGCCGAAAAAGTTATAATCGTATAAACCATGTATGGCTCTGATTCGTTGACTATGTAGGAGAGTCAAGCTTCTGAGGCATCTAATAGAGTTGTCAGAGAAATGAATACTTAAACAATAGTAGTTCTCAGTTCAATACCAGTTCAATATTTTAGCCGATAATAGTTGAGACCCTTGCAATAAAGTAACATGTGAACTCTTTTAAATTCGACTTTGCGAAGTGATTAAGTGTTGATGAAGTCCACCTTTTTTTTACAATAGAGTCAAAGTATTAAGAAAATGATCTTTTTGTAATATTCTACCTGTGCAAAATTAGAAACATAATCTTTTTGTATGGTTCTTGTTTTCAAAAATTGAAAAACAGTGAAATATGTACGTAGTTCATTTAAGGATAAGAATGGGGAACATTGAAAGAAAAGATTATTAGAGATCAAAAATATATAAACTATTATTGGCACTATTCTGTGTCGAGTATTCATGTTTATCAAAAGGAAAGTAACGAAAAGAATCTATGTTATCATACAAGATAGGTCTCATTAATTCATTCTAGGCTGCTCACATTCATTTCGAACATAGTATAGTTCAATTTCATTGATAAAATAGTTTGTATACAGTTGTTATTATATTCTATATAGAGTCTATTAGAGCATATATATTTAAGGCAAAAGAAAAAGTTTAAATAAAAACCGGTTCCATAGCAATTAAAAAAGCAATAAATTAAGTGTAAAAAATAGTTAAACGTTGAGAAAAGTAAGTGCAGTAAAAAGAAATATGATTGTAGAAAAAAACTCTAGACAAAGACGATCAATTACCATTGACAGAAAATGCCAATCTTGAGATTCATTATCATCTTTCACTTGTTGTCGAGAGTGATTAATAAAAATAGCAAGTTGAGAAATCATAATGCGTAGCTCAGAACGAGCCGTATCCATATCAGATGTGCATAATTCATTAGAGATTTTCTGATGATAACAAGAAGCATGAATTTCAGTTGCTGGAGATATAGCAGATTCTAATATCGAATCTGAGTGTTGTTTTTCTTGATTTTCTAAAAATTCTAAAGGTTTCTTNGTCTAGGCAATCTCAGATTCGTCTGAAAAGTGTACGTCCAATGTGACATTGGCCTAGGCCAATCCAAGATTGCACGCATTCGAGTATGAACGCTGACATATATATCACTGTATGTACAATAAATTAAAATTTTTTTTGACTTCAAATTTTTGTCGGCAAAATAAATTGTCGGCCAAGTGTACCTGTCGGCCAAACAATCTGTCGGTTAAGTGGTGTCGGTCAAGTGATGTGTCGGCCAAGTGAATGTCGGTCAAGTGAACGCGACCCGATGTGTTACGTGATCACTCGATATTTCATTGGTCAAAACTGGTATGATTTGTGGACAGGAGCTTTTTTTGTTTGAACTCTGGTTAGAGTTGCGGTAATACATCTTATTCCAGGCAATCCATTTGATTTCATGGCTGCTCGTATAAGAAATAATGTACTATCATCTCTATTACCTCCATTAATTCGTATACCTCGTATACTTCGCATACCTCTTACACCTCGTATATTTGCACCAAAAGAAAGTGGAAGGAACTTGCGAAAACCCAGAAGGATATCCCGGAAACTCAAATAACGGAGCATACGTGTAAGGTTATTGATTAAAACTTAATAACTGGTAGTATCGAAGTATTATTATTGGAAACTTTATTTTATTTTACAAGTGTATTAAACACTATCAATTCAACTCAACATCAACTGTAATGCAACACCCGAATCGTCTGAGAAGAAAGTTCTAACTCATCGCCTACTCTTGATTAGGAGAAACTAGGGCTACTCGAATCGATCCGAGCCAAACTCGAAGCACCGAAACCTAGTTTGATTCAGTCTCTGTAAGTGACTTTCTTCTTCAGTACTCAATAATTCTCTTTCCTAGAAAAAAGAAAATCATGAAAAACTAACTTTTGCATCTGATACGTTTTTGCTTATCGTATTTGCTCTGGGATGACTATCGAGCGGAGGAATATCAATTTGTTTTTTAATTTATGAATCGTGCGTTTCATTTTATTGAAACAAGAATCACATATGCTTTGTAATATCAGAAAACGAGCAGGAACACAATATGTATTCTTTCAATTTGTGCTTTCGCAAAATAAAAAAAGTCTTTTTGTTGATCATTGTGTTCTAGGTGTCTAACAGTGTTGATAATTATCACCTTTCATTTAGATCGTGAAAGAATGCTGATTATGCAAGTAACGATATTTCTTGCTCTGCACCATGCAGTGCATACTCAATATTCACTATATTATTCCGATATTCGTCCGAGTTCATATCTGACATTTGATTGTCTATACACTCAACTCACCGAAAGTCAATTAAATGAATATTCAACTTACATTAGGATCAATCAGTTGACTCCCTATTGTCGACGACCTGATAATAATGAAAAGGAAGAAGAAATATCTGATACATTGAATGAAAATGTAGCAAACAAGATTACTTTTAAAGAATTGAGTGAACAAGGCGTAACAAGTGAACAACTTCTTAAATGGTCAGCACCTATCGATCTTGCTGAACGGTATGAAATGAATAATCAAAGTTCAGATTGGTTCTATAACTGTTCATCGCCATGGTTTGGCTTGAAATGTCAATATCGATTTGTCTATAATTCATCTTTGTCATTTAATGAAATTCTTGATTCTTTCGTGGAAAGTCGTTTCAACACGATGCTCAGCGTAAGTGTTACCACATGTTATCGCTTTTTAGCTGACTGTAATCTTGCACCATGGTCTTTATGTCTCGATTGGCGGCAAGTATGTAATGGCAAAGTCGATTGTATGAATGCCGAAGACGAACAATGGTGTGAAACATTAGAGATGACAAAATGTGCTGATGATGAATATCGATGTCATTATGGTGGCCAATGTATTCCAATGATATATGTACGCGACGGCACTTTTAGTATTGACTGTCTCGATGGTAGCGAAGAGGTAGGAGGCTTCGACATATATATATCTGTGAAAAATTCTTTTTGTGGTTCACATTTCGCATTTCGATGTGACGAGCGTATTGATCGATATCCTCTTTCTTTTCCATGTGGTAATGGTGAATTTTTGCCAACGGCTATTATTCCAGTTAATATAAATGGATGTTCGAACAAACGAAATAAAGAAGTGGCTTTAACCATGTTTACTTCGTTCGATCACATTAAAGATAGTAAATGCCAACAAGCATTTCGTTGTTCCCTACTGTCCAATCGAAGTTATAGTAAGTAAGAATAATTGAATATTAATTTAGCTACTGAAAATACTCAAGTGTTTTTTCTGTTTTTCAAACACTAATATGCAATAGCTAAATCGTTGAACAAGTAAGTTATCATCTCTGCGTCCTCGGCTAAAAAAACGAATTTTCCTAGTTTCCGAAAGTTCAGCACCAGATTGAGAGTTTTTAATGATAACTTACAGTTACGGCATTGATTACTAGTTGTCACGATTGTGGCGCCTTCAATGGTGAACAACATTGGAAAACGTTACTGCTAGAAGAACTTTTAAGATAGAGACAGGCTTTTAGGATCCTGTACTAATGTTTGCTGCGCAGCACATGATTTTGAGTTCTTTATAAATTGATCAACTCGTCTCAGTACTTAGTGTCTATGTAAAAGTCGACTGAAAAATGAAACGAGATTTTTGCGCATTTCTAACTGTGGGAAAGAGCTTATATTATGTATATCCAACTTTGATTGCTTTGAAATGCCATTGCATTGGATTGCATTCTACACCGATTTTTGGAAACATCTCCTTCTTGATCAGACGTCTTCGCGCTGCTACTATTTTGGGATGTGTAGGTATTGCAATGAGTGAACAGACTATCCACACCGACACCTACATCCATGCCTACACCCCTGATTTCATCTTCATTGTCAACAATCAGTGTTGAAAAAAATACTGATAATGTCGAAGACTTTGAACAGGATCATATTTCATTATATAGATAAGGTGAGAAGGATTATGAAACGTTTGATATTTGGAGTCCGATGCGTTCTCGATAGACTTAGTTCACAATAGACATATCAAATTTTTATTCTTTGTCTCAATTCAAAACCGCGGCATATATATATATAAGACCTCATTTGCTTTACAAAAGATACGCAAAAAGCATAATCAAATAACATTAATTTTTCAGTTTAATATTAAGTTATGAATTATGTAATCAATCAAAAAGAATGAACTTGACTCAGTGCTCATGTGAATTTTTAATAAGACATTGGACATCGAAATTTTTTCGTCATATTGCAATGCTATTTTTTTTATCGATCGAAAATAGTTTTCCACCAATAGATCATATTTAAAAATTGGTTGTTGTGTATCGAAATGACACTTACAACTTAATCTAATTCGTCATTGTACATAATTAGTACACTAATTAGTTCAATCATAGCATGAAAGATGATAGAGATGGTGCAAATAAGAATTTGTAGAAAAAAAATGGTAACGCAACATGTTCAAAAGGAATAAGGTCACATCAGTATGAGAGATAGAATCTGTCGATATGAAATGATATTACTACCTTGTAGAATCTAATATTACACAGAAGTAAGGAAGATGCAAACGAATGTCAGTTTTTATTTTCTATTGCACTATTGTCAAAAAAACAGACACGTCTTGTTAACATTGATTTTGCAGCTTTTCACAACAATAAGATCAGTGTACGGCAATTAGAGTTAAATTATTGATATTCATGAGAAAATATAAAAAAGATACGATAATATCGTCGTATGGTAGTTTACTCATTTCTCTTTTTCTTTGGATACAAATAATTTGTATGTAATACTCATTGTATCAGCACAAAAGCTGAAATAAATCATATCGAAATATTATCACCTTTATATATGGACCATCACCAGGCAAGATCCAATACACTCATCTTTCATCTCACTTTGATTCGTTACAATAGTTATTTTTTCTGAATACGTTATTTTAGCTGACTACTAGTTAAATTTATTTGATTTATTATAAGGTATTTTGCAAATATCTCTCAAATCATACGCAGAAAAAAAATCTAACAAAATCAGGATAGTTTTTATGGTACGAACTACATCGGTGTTAAAATTTTCAGCAAGATCAGACTTCAAAAAACATTCTTATAAAAATCGGTTTTCTACTGATTCTATCAAATCTCGGGAGAAAAAATTCTGTCTTATCATCTTCTAGAGATCCCTAAAGAGGATATTTTTGTAACTGATTTTGAGCCTCTTATTCAAATTACAAAAGCATTTTTTGCTGGTATATTTGCATTTGATTACAATGCTAACGAAAAGTAAATCGCTTTTTCTTTAAAAATCAATGCATGCTCAGAAAAAAGCTTTGCATTGAGAACGTTTTAGTTTCAGGAGTTGCCTAGAGAATATACTATTGAGTTTTTGAGAAATGTTGCCACAATTTGGAGATTTTTTTAAACTAAAATACGTGAAATGAAAGTCGATGCTCGCTTTTTCTGTGTAATGTTCCTAGTACTATTTAGTTTTTTACCGATAACTCTTTTGAACAAAGATTTTTAGTGATGAGTTTTTCAGAGTATCTAAAGTAACTCAACATACATATAATGTATAAAAATTAACTTTGGAAAATTTCATATATTCGGAGAGACATCTATTTTTATTTTGCGAAATCACTTCGGTAAAAAATGATTTTGTTCATATATTTTTTGTTGATATGTAAATCATGGGCATTGCCTTTTTCTTCAGTATTTTATCTTCTGATATTTTTCAATTGACTCTGATTATAACGCTCCTTTTTTAATTTTGTGTTAATCTAGATTACAATCCTCAGTCTCATTGGGATCCATCATTTGAATATTTTGAAGTTACTTGGGATACAAACTGTGAACTTCTAGCCAATTCGTGTTTGGACAAATGGCTAACTTTACCTGAATATCCTGTTATGTATGGATATTTTCAATTTGTCTATTTGACTAATCGATCCATTAATCAATTTAAGACCAGTATCGTACCTGACTTCGTATGTTTTGATGCAGAGAAATGTCCTGCATTATTATCTAGAATAGTTCCAATTAAAATAATCGATGGTCTTACATGTTGCCGCACTTTTGACTTGATTTTTGAATATCCAATAGATCAATTTCATATGTTGAATACGATGTTCTTTGACCTCTATCATGCATGTTCAACTACCGGTAATGAAATGTCATGTGCAAATTCATCTTATTTTCATTGTAATCAATCCTTAAAATGCATTTCATATCATCGTGTTGGTGATGGATTCATAGATTGTTATTATAATGAAGATGAATCATTTTCTACATGCCATTTGAATGACTCAAATCGATTAATGTGTACGTCAGATCCAACCAAGTGCTTATTACCTGTAGCGATTGGAGATGGACTTCGTAATTGCCCAAACGGAGAAGATGAATCAGATAAGTATATATATGACATTCAACGACCGATACCATTTTCATCTATATGTGATACAAGTTTGGGCATTAAAGAAGCAGACGGGAATGAAACTGATGAAACAAACTGTGAATGGTGGCCATGTGATACTGCATACTCACATTGTAATGTAGTATGGGATTGTTATAATGGCATCGATGAACTTAATTGTTCTGATACGGATTGCTCATTGAACGAATTTCAATGTAAAAACGATAATTTGAATTTAACTTATTGCTTACCATTAATTCACATGTTTCATAAGCTGAGAAATGATTGTACGAATTATAATGCATTGATTCGAGAACTCTATTTCTACAATGGAACAAGTGACATTAGCAAATCTTTTTACTCATTTAACAAATCCAAATGTATCACTAAAGACAACATTTGTAATCGTCATTCAGAAACACCAAATGTACAAGAAGACGTATGCCTTAAAAATCGAATACTTCCCATAAATGTCGAATTTTCTAGTAAAATCTACAAAATTGATAATGATAATACATACTTATGTAGTCTTCAACCTGACACTGACATGTTCTTCCCTTTGAACGATCGCTTCTTGACTCCTTTACGACTTGGCTATTATCCATCAATAACATCTACAATTTCTGATCAAAGCTCTTTCGAAAAATCTAAACGCAAAAAAGATATTCATCAGATGGATGCTGCCCTTGCTTGGTATTGTCATTATGGTGTTCTCATTCTATTCAAGGGTGTTAATCAAACAAAAACATGTCTTTGTCCACCAAATTATTTTGGTTCTCAATGTCAATGGCAAAGTCAACGTGTTAGTTTGACTCTACAGTTTAGAACACAAACTATTATTGCTCCTCCAGTTATTTTTCAATTAATCATCATGCTCATTGATGAACAAGGAAATATAGCACCAAATCATGAACAAATCACATATATGCCTGCCTATGATTGTAATACAAAATTTAATATCTATCTACTTTATCCATATCGGCCAAAATATTCATCAACAGATTATTCGATTCGTATTGATCTTTTCGATAAATCAACATTAGACTATTGGGCAAGTTGGTATTTACCAATTCCATTTCAGTTTCTTCCTGTTAATCGAATCTCGAACCAGTTAGTCATTCCTGAAGTACGAGAAAATGAACAATGTACTTTGTCATGTGGACAACATGGTCGATGTATGAAATATACAAATATGAACAACTCAGTTTATTGTCGATGTGATCAAGGATATTTTGGTACTTTTTGCAATATAACACATCAATGTCAATGTTCAAAAGACTCATTCTGTCTAGCTCCATCTATCTGTGTATGTCCTTTGAACAAGTTCGGCTCACGTTGTTATTTGAAAAGATCGATATGTCAATCAACAAATAATCCATGTCAACACAATGGATTTTGTATAGCAATTGATGATCGTATTAATTTATATGGATTTATCTGTGTCTGTAAAGAAGGTTATCAAGGTGAACGATGCCAATATAAAAGCAATCAAATTGATATTCATATAGATGAGACAATACTAACAATAAGTTCATCATTCATTCTACATTATATAATAGCATATGATAGATTAACAAAACATGAACAAATATATACACTGAAGAAAATTGCTTTTGGTCAAAATACTATGACCATTTATGTACGACAACCATTTAACATTCTTTTCATACAAATACCCGACGGTAATTATTATCTAACGATATTAAGAGAAAGATTTGTACCATCAGAATATATTCATACTACAGTATCATTAAAAAATCGTTGTTATCCAGTTCTTGATCTTTTTAATGATACTTTTCGTCAGTATGAATATTTACGTCAGGTGAAATATTATCCACTTTTATGTCGTCAAGATTCACAGTTGATGTGCTTTTATGATAAATACTACATGTGTATATGTGATAGTTATAGGTTTTCAAATTGTTTCGACTTTAATAGTACAATTAAATATGATTGTAGTGGAAAAAATGTTTGTTATAATGATGGTCGATGTTTTCTAAACAATCCAACCTGTCCAACAACATATATTTGTGCGTGTGATGATTGTTACTATGGAGTACAATGTCAATTTTCAACAAAAGATTTTATTTTCTCACTTGATCCAATTCTTGGATATCATATTAAACCAAATATATCACTTCATCAACAACCATTTATTGTTAAATTCAGCATTATTATTACTACAATTATGTTGATTTCAGAAATGATCATGGGTTCATTATGTATAGCAACATTTCGATGGAAAAAATCAAGAGAAGTTGGTTGTGGTTATTATCTTCTAGCATCATCTATTAGTTCAATTTGTATGATTATTGTATTAACAATTAAATTTTGGCAACTTGTTCTTTTACAAATGTTATTCGTAACTAATAGATCAATACTCTCTATTAATTGTATTTCAATTGAAATAATTCTTAAATCTTGTTTAACATCATGTGAATGGCTTAATGCTTGTGTAGCTATTGAAAGAATGTTTAGTATCATGAAAGGTATAACATTTAACAAACAAAAGAGTAAAGTAATAGCTAAACGAGTGATTTTTGTTATTATTATTGTAATCATACTTACACATATGCATGATCCATTTCATCGACAAGTAATTAATGATTTAGATGGAGATCAACAACGAATATGGTGTTTATCTCAATATCCATCTACAGTAACTCAATACAACACATTTATTACACTTTTTCATTTTCTTGTTCCTTTTTCAATCAATTTAATATCTGCTTTAATAATTATTATAGTAGCAGCTCGTAGTCGTTTTAAGGTAGATTCGAAACAACCATTATTTCAACACATTCAAGCGAAACTTAAACAGTATAAACACATTATTATTGCACCTACTATTTTGTTCTTATTAGGCTTACCACGTTTGATTATTTCATTTGCAGTGGGATGTATGAGATCACCACGTCAATCTTGGCTTTATCTGATTGGCTATTTTGTATCGTTTATACCATCAATGTTAACATTATTTGTGTTTGTTTTACCATCAAAAACTTATAGAAATGAATTGAATAAAACAATACAACAATGGATTCGACGAATACGTCGAAGATCGTGATCTGTTTCATATGGCATTCTAATAGACAAAATTTCTATTTTTAACCTTGCTTCTATTTCATTTTTCAACATTATACATATATCTTAAACTATCATGCGCTTTTTTTCTATCATTTAATCATGCATTTTTTTTAAAGTCTCTGGAATCAAAATATAAAGCAATTGAATAAACTGAATTTTAATCGCTTCTTCATATCATTTGATAATTATTTTCATTTGAAGATAAATCAAAGCTTTGATTGTCGATTCTTGTGTTTTAGTCCTATGGCTAAAATATCAAATTACTATATTTTAATTCGCATGTCAGAATCGTAAAGTGAGCAGGACTTCAACCAGTGTTCTGCGGGAACAACTTTATTTCAAAATTTTCCATCTCATTTGCTGCAGGAATGGGAAACGGGAACGATATATAAAAATTGACATCCGAGAAATTTTTCGTCCTATTTAAATACAACTTGAAACTTTTTTCTAATGCCTTTTTATTTCTTATCGCTATTTAAAAATATTACTATTTTTTATCTTATATATCATATGTGAAAAATACGATGGCACGAGAAGCTAGGGCCAATTTATCAGTGGTTTTGATATACGGAAAAGTCATGATACCCAGTCGAGAAGTACAGACCGGTTCGCGGCGGAAAACACCGGAAATCAACGGAACATGGAAGCAGTATTCCGGTCGGAATTTTTTCGGACATTTTCTGGATGATTTCCGGCTGGTTTCTGCTGGAAANACACCCACACCCACACCCACACCAACACCCACACCCACACCCACACCCCACACCCCACACCCACACCCTAAAATAATAGTCTACTAAGTTCATTTTTATAGCGAATATAGAACGAAGTGAGGCCTATCCAATGATGAAGAAAAAAAACGTTTTATCGTATGTGATATACAAGAACATGATCGTGGATTGGCATTACGCAATTAGAGAAGAAAAAAGCCTGGTCCCAACACCTTTTTGAGTAGACGCAACTTATGATTCAGTATGACACTTAAATGAGAATTACCTGACTAAAAAAATCAATAAATTGGTCCCTTTAAGTAATGATTACATTCTTTATTGTACACGTCAACAATTAGACGGAACTCACAAACAAATGTGTAAAAAATTCGCAAGAACCAAGTACTTCTCATCGATGAGTCATAGAGTTACTCACAATTGAGATCGAGAGACAATCTCGTTGACGATTAAATGTTATCTATGCTCTATCTCGAACTGTAACTATCACACATTCACTTATTATTACAAGTACTTTTTGTTGAACAAATCAATTAGATAAATAGATAAAAAGGTTTAGTTTTGAACTTGAAACGCCGAACAAATGCATTTTAAGATCATCCCCATGTCGCTCAAACCTCCTGAAAACCGATGGTTAACCGTGGTTAACCATCCAGTCAACTGGACGCTTAACCGTCCGGTTAATCGCGGTTCGCCAGCCAAATGTTTTCTCGCATCACAGAGGGTGAATATTTTTCATCTCTTACAAAATCGTTAGAATCATGTTGAAATCGTTGCCCCTTATATATGCAAACGCGCTGAAGCCGCCGGTACCAGCCACATTTGCTATATTCGCTTAGTTTTCCAGTTTAGATTTTTATCAAAGATGGCGCCATAAAAATAGTTATTCGCGAGATAACTTAACCAATACAAAAATCAATGGAGCCATTTGACAGAATTTTACTGTTGCATAATTATCTAGACTCTTTTTGAGTTGTAATCGATTCTTTTAAGACTAAAAATATTAATTTAGAAGAAAAATTATTTAAAAAATCGAAAAAAAAGAGAAAACCGCTTCAAACCGGCGGTTTTCCTATGAACCACCGGTAACCGGCGATTTTGATGAAAAATTGACGGCAGGGGTCACAATCAAAATCCAGTGGCTTTTTTTTAAACATCCACAGATCCTATTACTTTTCTTCTATTTGCACGACTCTGTGCGCATTTGAGAGACGCACAAAACTTATTCTTGTTACGCATCAATAACCTCACTAAAGTATTATGTACATGTGATAAGCTATAGCTACACTCATGATAAGAACGAATATGAAGCAAGAAAGTAACGAAAGACAAGCATTACTCGATGACGAAAAAACATCTCATAGCATACATGATCAAAATCGACGTGCATCTTCTCGTCTTGAATGGGCAGAATCATCTTGGTTTCGTCTCTTCCATATTCTATTTTGGTCTTGGCTTAAACCAATTCTTTTATCAGGATATAAACGACAATTAATAGAAAATGACCTTGATGACTCACCTCTGATTGATAAAACTTTGACACTATTAGAGAGATTACAATCTTATGATTGGTCATCAACAACATCATGGATGATTATCAGAAAAGAATTCATGAAAGATTTAGTTTCGGTTTATTTAATAGGGATTCTCTTCTGTATGGCCGATATTACACAAGTTCTAGTTTTTTGTCAACTGATTTGGAGTATTACAGACAAACAGACATCGATTTATCGTTTCTATTTATATATTATATTACTCTTGTTATCCATTATTTTACAATCAATGGCAGAACGACAAGCAGTGTTTCGTTCGAGTCGTGTGGGTATCCGAATTCGTAATGCATTGAATATCATCATTTATATACGTGCATTGTCTTTGAAGTCGACATCTTCAGAAAAAACAAATACAGGTCAAATTCTGAACTTAATCACCAGTGATACATTCAAATTTGAAGAACTATACACCAATTTAGCTAGTCTAACTGCATCTATTCTTGAGACAATTATTCTATTTGGTTTACTTTGTTGGATTATACATCCAATACCAGTATTATGTGGATATGTTTTGTGTCCAATATTTATTCTAATACAAATGTATTTCGGTCGAAAGTTTCGTCAGTGTCGTGAAATAACAGCTGTGTGTAGTGATAAACGTATACAAGCATATAGTGAATTTATCTATGGATGTCATACTGTTAAAATGTACAACTGGGAAAAACCGATGGAAAATCGTATAGTTCAAATGCGTAAAAATGAATTAGAAAGTATTCGATACACATCTCGTTTTCGTGCATTCAATAGGACTCAATATTTTATCTCAACACAACTACTTTCATTAGCTACATTTGGTAGTGCTTGGCTTTTAGGCTATCCATTGACTATAGCAAATACTTTTCCACTTATTATGGCTTTTGCTTTTATGCGAGATAATTTTGCGTGCTGCGTACCACTAGCATTCGAAAAGTTCAGTGAAGCAAAACTTGCATCAAAAAGAATCGATGCATTCATGCATTTAACTGTGAAACAAGAACATCAGTCTTCAACAAACACATTGTCAAGTGATCAGAAACAAAAAGGAAGTATCATCATGTCGAATGCTTGGTTTTCTTGGCAAAACGATATTTCTTGTCTATCATCACTGAATCTATCGGTTAAAAAAGGTACATTGGTCGGTATTGTCGGACCCGTTGGTTGTGGTAAATCATCTTTCCTTGCTGCTATTCTTGGTGAAATGAATCTTATCGAAGGTCAGGTGAATACATATCATAGTTCATTTTCATATGCTGCTCAATCTCCATGGATATTTGCTGATACATTTCGTAATAATATTCTTCTAAATCGACCATATGATGAACAAAGATATAGGGATGTGATAGATGCCTGTTGTCTTGATGTTGATCTTAGTCGATTGGGATCTTGTGGTGATCTGACAATAATCGGAGACAATGGAGTCAATTTAAGTGGAGGACAAAAAGCACGAGTTGGATTAGCTCGTGCTTTGTATGGTGATGCCGATATTTATTTACTTGATGATCCTCTATCAGCTGTTGACCGTACAGTAGCCGAACACATTTATGAACGATGCATTGGTTCAAATGGACTATTGAAAAATAAAACACGTCTATTAGTTACTCATCAAACTCAATTTCTTTTTGAAGCAGATCAAATCATATTTCTTTCACATGGACAAATCGATAAAGAAGATCGGTTAGATGAAAACTTCACAAGACAAAATGAACCTGACAAAAAACAAACATCCGTATTAACTACAATGCTTGAAGACAATCCGCCTGAATGCGATGACCAATCGATCACCACTGATGAAATATCAGTAAATGATAGGTCCAATTGGTCTCTCTATTATGATTTATTTACTGCATCACCGTCTGGTATTTATGGATTTTGTTTACTGATTGTTTTACTCTTGTTAGGGGAAATATTCAATGATGGTGCAAACTATTGGCTTAGTATATGGTTGAAACAATCGAAAATTGATCGACAATTTTCACCAAAATATGTTTATATTTATTTTGGTTTAATAATAGGTGCATTAGTCATGGATATACTACGTACAAACTATTATTATAAGATTATTTTGAATGGTTCAAATAGCCTACATAATAGTATGTTGAAAGGACTTCTATATACCTCGTTAGAATTTTTTGAAAGTAATCCAAGTGGAAGAATTCTTAATCGAGCAAGTAAAGATCAATATTCAATAGACGAATTATTACCTGTACTGATGCTGAATGGTATTGTGGCACTATTGATAACAGCTGGTGCAATGTTTATCATTTGTTTTCTCAATCCATCGATCATTTTTGTACTACCGATATTTTTTGTAGGCCTTTGGTTCATGATTCATTTTTATCAGCGATCTTTTCGTCAATTGAAACGACTTGAAAATATTACTCGTAGTCCTGTTTATACATTCGTACAATTCTGCTATTACGTAAGCAACCTAATCCATACTTAGAAATTTCTGAGGAGAAATGCAAATCAGCATGTAGCGAAACCGAACTACTCAGCCCTGGTCTGTCTCGTTCTCGCTCAGACTCAGTATCGAGTTTTCTTGAGTCCCAACCGAGATTATCGTGTCTCAATCAGCCTTGGGTATCGGTCGGAAGTTTGGTAGGTCGTTGTTCATTGTACATCTCAAAGCGAGCACCATCATAGCCCACGCACTGACATGTCAGTACTGGCCTCGGTACTGGTAAACAGGAAAGTTGTAAGTACTGAAACCTTTTCAGTCA